CTGAGAGTTTTTTCATAGAGAATGGCACCTTCTGTGTGCCGCTGCCGTAACGCCATCCAAGTCTCCTGCAGACGGGACACCTGAAAGACCGAAGAACAACACTATTGCTTTTGTGCCTTCCTCTCGTTTTGTATATATTTGTTTTATTCAATTTGTCTTACTATTTGTATTACCTGCACAGCTGAACCCACAATTGTTTGACAGCTAATCTTATAGAAATTGTCCCTGTCTTTATTTTTTTCAGTCTGAAAATATAGTTGAGATGTATATGACTCCTAAAAATATTCAGAGGTGATGTCTTTTTTTATGTAAAGACAGTTTTGAATATATACAGAAACTTTGCCAGAAAAGACAGGCCAAGTTAAAAATATATATTAACAATAACTAAGAAAAAATATAAAATGAAGAAACTTTTCTGCATTTGAGTTAATAAAATCACTGAAAGGTTAATAAGTTATCAATAAATGACTTTGCCCCTTTTGTTTGAGGATGTGATGAAGCACCCTGATATCAGAATTGTGACATTTTACAGCCTGACACCTTGAGGCAGGGAAACCCAAAAGAAGGCCGAAGGCTAAATCATGTAAGTGATAACATTAAATATCAGTGGGCCTCTTAGCTATTCCTGAAATTAAGCATCTTCACTAAAGGTGAGTCACAGTAATAATAATAATAATAATAATAATAATAATAATGGATTGCATTTATATAGCACTTTTTGGGGCCCTCAAAGCGCTGTACAATTCCACTATTCATTCACTCTCACATTCACACACTGGTGGTGGCAAGCTACAGTTGTAGCCACGGCTGCCCTGGGGCAGACTGACAGAAGCGAGGCTGCCATATTGCGCCATCGGCCCCTCTGGCCATCACCAGTAGGCGGTAGGTGAAGTGTCTTGCCCAAGGCCCGGGGCTCGGACAGTCACATATTAAACAAATATGTAAGACTGCGGTCTTCCATTTGCGCAACATCTCTAAAGTTAGAAATATCCTGTCTCAGAGTGACGCTGAAAAACGAGTTCATGCATTTATTACTTCCAGGCTGGACTACTGTAATTCATTATTATCAGGATGTCCAAAAAACTCGCTGAAAAGCCTTCAGCTAATCCAAAATGCTGCAGCAAGAGTCCTGACAGGGACTAGAAAGAGAGAGCATATTTCTCCTGTTTTGGCTTCCCTTCATTGGCTTCCTGTTAAATCCAGAATTGAATTCAAAATCCTGCTCCTCACATACAAGGTCTTAAATAATCAGGCCCCATCTTATCTTAATGACCTTGTAGTACCATATCACTCTATTAGAGCACTTCGCTCTCGCTCTGCAGGCCTACTTGTTGTTCCTAGAGTATTTACAAGTAGAATGGGAGGCAGAGCCTTCAGTTTTCAGGCCCCTCTTCTGTGGAACCAGCTTCCAGTTTGGATTCGGGAGACAGACACTATCTCTACTTTCAAGATTAGGCTTCAAACTTTCCTTTTTGCTAAAGCATAGTTAGGGCTGGACCAGGTGACCCTGAATCCTCCCTTAGTTACACTGAGTTATTAATCTCTGTCTCTCTTCCACAGCATGTCTTTTATCCTGTCTTCCTTCTCTCACCCCAACCGGTCGCAGCAGATGGCCCCGCCCCTCCCTGAGCCTGGTTCTGCCGGAGGTTTCTTCCTGTTAAAAGGGAGTTTTTCCTTCGCACTGTCGCCAAAGTGCTTGCTCATAGGGGGTCATATGATTGTTGGGGTTTTTCTCTGTATCTATGAAGCGCCTTGAGGCGACTTTTGTTGTGATTTGGCGCTATATAAATAAAATTGAATTGAATTGAATTGAACCGGCAACCTTCCGGTTACAAGACGAACTGCCAACTCTTTGAGCCATGATTGCGCCCTTATCAGTATACACAGTAGGCAAGGGGTTACAGCCTCATGTTTATTGTACTACGCTGTTCCATTAAGTCAATATTTGTTAATCTCTTACCTATACCCTGGTTTAACTTTACCCCGGGCAACCTTTGTTACACATTCCTTGCTCTTCCGGCTGTTTCCTGCGTGCCTCCCCTATCTCCATGAACACAAATAACCAAAGCTCCGTGCAGTGCATGTTTACCTGCGGAAGCTCCAAGGCTCTCATGACTGCAGCGAAGCCAAACATATTGCCCATTGTGCTCTTGAGCTCAGCAGCGATTTGGATGATTTTGTGAAGCAGGCAGGCTCGTTCTTCAGTCGTCCCCGTGCAGCCCAACACGTGCACAGCCAACATAATCGACATGGTTTGAAACCTGCAGGAATGTTATGTTATATCAGGTCATGTCAGCCCACACAGTGATCACACTTTGCTTAAAGAGGTCCTTAAAGTCAGAACAAGACTTCCAACAGCAGGAATAGGGAGACAACATTGAAAGGGAAAGCAGACATATGACTAAATAAATCACGTAGTTAAAAGAAGGCTAAAAAAAAGATGGAAAGAATTATAAATTACTATGAATAAATTAGGAATAACACACCATGTCATTGCTGTTGTGACACTCCTGTGTATAAATGCCCCACTTAACAGCAGAAAGTCTTATAGCCTGGTAACAAAGCCAGGTTGGTCTCTCTAGTCTAGTCTACTAACTTAATTAGCAGCATTATAGTTTATGGTTCCAGTTTGTAAAAACATTTGATAGTAGATAAATTTGCAGATAACTAAAAACCAACTTGGTGGACAAAAGTCTAATAAGGCTCATGTCAGATATACACCGTTCTATCACGCTAATGAACAGCTGAACTGGTTGAACAGTATTCACCTCTCCAGCAGGTCTAGTCTTAACTGTTGTCCATGTGGCAGCGTGAGCAGCTCCATCCCGGAGGTAACGCCCATCATTCTTTGCACCTCTGGCGTGACCTCCAGAATTCTGGCCACCTAGGAACACACACAGATGTAAGAACTGCTGCATTAGATTTCAGTTAGCGGAAACAGGATGAGCAGGAAAATACACTTTAAAATCTCCTGAAACATCTGCATGTTTTCACACATCAATAACACTTTGATTTAGAAATGGTTTAGAATTTGCATTCAAACAAATACCCCATAGTTTACCTGTTATCACTAACGCATAGCTAGCCCTAGATTTCCTTCAGCATAGTTGCCACTGCGTTCAGACTAAAATAAAGAAATCCCTAAACCTTTCTGCAGAGCTGCAGTCCATCCTTAAAAAAGTCCCTATTACTTTACAAATATTGATTAGAGCAGCTATAAACAGTACCATGCAGTCAGCCTTGGTGATGTGTTTGGCCATTGTCCTGGGATCGACCTCCACCAGAAGCTCCTTCACCCTCCGCAGGACGCCCACTTCTAGAGGCTTATTCTCTTTTCCCATCAGTGGTGACTGGTACCTGCTGGGTTTGAAACAGGAGACCGTCTCCACCACAGGTGAAAAGTACACATTCCCATCCTCAGCCCTCAGTGGGTCGACTCCCGCTGACCCCTCTTCTGCCTGCAGCCTCTCCACATAGCTCTGAGGACCAGGGTACAGCTCTGTGTAGCAGCTCCCGTCTGCATGAGAGGAGGGAGAGACCTGGGTGTGGTGAGGTTGGGGTCTGTCAAGATGCTGTCTCTGTAGGGTGCTGCTGGGAGAGGGCAGAGGTTGGACGGTGTCCGAGCGCCTCGGCAGGGACGGAGTCACAGTGGGAGTCCGGCTGCTGGACGGAGTTCTGGATGTGGGGGCTGAAGAAGAAGGGAGGGAAAATTAGGAAAAAGATGTTTACAAATATTTATCCGAATAAAGCAGAATAAATATATACATTTCAGACACTACTTGAGATACATAATAAGAGGAAGTGCCACATTCTATGTGGATGATTATTATAGACTAATGAACCCATGACAATGAAATATACTGATAGAAATATCATCAGTATAGCTGATCACTGTGGTTAATAGTTTTGGACAATTATTTTAGGGCTCTAAGGCAGAGAGGAATATTATACCATCATGGCTTTTGGGTTGACTCATAGTTAATTAATGTTAAACTTTGTGCGCCTCTTATTTTCACCTTAGTCTGTGTCTTGGTGTTTCCCTTTTTTAGTTTACTTCCTGCTTTATTTTGAAGGACAATTTCTTTTTTGCTTTCTGCATTTTCACTTCCTTTCTGTCAGTTTATTTCTGCCTTCATTATTGTCTAGACTGAGTTTACTGGTGCCATGATATTTCTCTCCCCGATTTAAATCTTTACTTACAAACTTTAATGTCATTTAGTTTATTCACTGTCTTTGGTTTCTTTGACTTCACTCAGTCATGTCAGTTAATATCAAGCGGCGCTGCTCAATTTGTTTTTTAATAAACAGAAATGTAGATTCCTTTTTATCATTAATTGTTGTCTCTGAATGCAATTAATCTACCGTGTGAGGACATCCAGTAGAATCATGTGAATCATTTAATTAATTAGTCAATTAATAGGACACACCTACAGTATAATGTATCTTTTGAAGACTTGCATTAACTCTTTCGAACTCTATTGCAGCTTTACTTGGGAATTTTTTCTTGTTAATGTTTTTTTTCCTGATCATTAACTCATGGCCTGCTATTTGTTTTAATGTGCAATTTATTTGTCTTGTGAAACAACACGTTCACTTTTTTAAGTCAGAGGGCGAGGTAATGAAGTTCATGTAGATGAACTCACTATTTGAACACACTGTTTGATTAATGCACGCCAATAACCTTCTACTTACATCACACTCAATTACAACAGTTTATTTCTATGTTGCCTTCAATTTTTCAATTACTTCCATTTTATCCTCAAATGTCTTCACCCAAAACCATTCATTCATTTCAGATACACTTGTCTTTGTCTATAGTAACCTGTAGCAACAGTATTATCTACTACATCTATAGATCAGAGTTCACAACATTTGATCCAGTTTTCTCTTATACAACCAACCTTGCTGCTGAAAACTACAAAAGGCTCTGAACCTTACTCCTGCTACCTTAGAGCCAGTGCGGTCAGAGGTATTTTGCTCGTCAGAGCCCGATGGCAGTCATTCACTCAGAGACCGGTGAAGCAGGCTGGACACACAACCAACAGGCTCTGGTTGAAACGTGAGCTCTTTTTACAGGGACGCTCTAGGTAAGTACTTAGATCAAAAACCCAAGATCAGCAAGAGTTTTAGAAGATAAAATGGCATTTTAATGTAAACCCCAAATACCTTTAATGCTGTTTTAGAGCATTTCTTTGTGTAGTTACGCTGCGAGTTCTGTTCTGAAATATGCATGACCGACCAGCTAAGTAGTAGCATATGGATTCTCACAGAGGAACAGAATATTTCCCAGATGTCTCCTCTCAACAATAACAAGGCTGAGCTTTATGATTGCATGGAGGAATCTCACTATATAAACCATCCTCATTCACAGTCATAGTTTGTTCTGATCACAAGGAACAAAAGCAAGAAAAAGAATGAATTGTTTTGGAATCGGATGCATTTCAGCTTGGAAATTTGTTTTCTTTCGAAAAAAAGAAGGAAGCTTCAAAGGTCACACAAGTTCAGACTTTCTCAAATTAAATACAGAGAGAACATGGAGTTACTTTTTTTGATGCAAAACAGAAAGATTTTTCTTATAAAGTTTTGTTTTGATTATTTTAAATTCGGAACTAAGGAAAAAATGTTAAGTCTTGCAAGCACAAAAGGTCTTTTGACTGGTGGTGGTCAGAGGGCCCGGTGGCGCCAGTGTCCGGCAGCCTCGCCTCTGTCAGTGCGCCCAAGGGTGGCTGTGGCTACAATGTAGCTTGCAATCACCAGTGTGTGAATGTGTGTGTGAATGAGTGGATGACTGAATGTAGTGTAAAGTGCTTTGGGGTCCATAGGGACTAAGTAAAGCGCTATACAAATACAGTCCATTTAACATTTAACATTAAACAATGGCAGCTTTTACAATATTTATAATTGTTGCTTTATAATTGCTTTATAATTTCATACCCACTAATGCTGGCAGCTGTGAAACAGGGAACAAAAAACAGCTTTGTTGCCTTCTTTTAAACCTCCTGAGATTTAGAGGCAGGAATTTTCACACTGCAGTTGAACCAGTGAGCTGCAGAAAATCTGGAAGCTATGCAAGTATTAAAGTAGGGTGCCTCAGCTTAGTGAAAAACAACTGGAAATCTTTTGTAGAAAGACTGGTGGCGGTGTGAATCAGGGTGGTTTTAGCTATATGGCAACCTTTGCTGTCAAACATAAACTGAAATGACTGAGTTATATTATTTACTCAGATTAGTAATCTAGATCACTAATGATGTACATTGTAAAATACCACAGTATTTTACAATGCCACATTCCCAAAGTGAAATTACAAGGCTCAGAAGTTAGCTTTTTAAATACATCCCGACTTCTAATCAGGAAAATAAATTGGCCTCTTGGATTTAACTGTCATTCTTATGTTTAATAAGAATCACTAGATAGCATCTAATGTGTTCTTAAACATTCATAACTTACGTTTTGGTTGTCATCATTGCAAGTTGCAGAAATCCATTGTCATTTCTTGATCTGGAGTCACTACATCACTGCCAATATCTTCCAGTGTGTATGCAGGAAGGAATTTTTTAAATAATTTTTCTTTGTTTTTAAGTTCATAGAAACCCTTAAACTCAAGGCCCTTACTAAACAGAAGGAGAGATTTAACATCTTGACATCTCTGTCAGAATCTCTTTCAGAGATGTGCCATCCAAGCTTCCTGGCACTTGCAGTGCTGCTATGCTCCACATTGTTGGTAAATGGAGGGAAAGTCTTGGTGTTCCCTGTGGATGGAAGTCACTGGATCAACATGAATATCATCATCGCAGAGCTTCACTCCAGAGGTCATGAAGTCACAGTGGTGCGGCCAAACGACACCTGGTACATCAAGTCAGAGTCCCCCCACTACAAGACCATCACTATAAAGTTCTCGAATGGTTTTAACAAAGAGCACTTTGAGGCATTTGTAATGGAAACACTAATCATGCGTCGCCAAGGTGCTTCACTGTGGACTCGATTATCAATGGAGCATGACTTAGTGAAACAGTTGTATCAAATGCATGTCAAAGTGCTTGAGATGGTGGAGGGAATGTTTGAGGATACCAAGCTGATGCAGAGCCTCCGTGATGCCAAATATGATTTGGTTCTGACTGATCCTGCAATTGGTACAGGTGTTCTTATGGCTCACCGTTTGGGTCTTCCACTTGTCTTTAATGTCCGATGGACTATTCAGGGTGAAGGCCATTTTGCAATTGCACCTTCCCCACTCTCTTACATCCCCATACCAGGGACAGAGCTGACTGACAAGATGACTTTCATTCAGCGTGTCCAGAATATGCTCTACTTTTTCTTCTTAACTTTACAAAATTGGTATATGACAGAACCAAACTACAAACCATTTGTCCATCGTCATTTTGGCAGTGATGTACATTACATGGAGCTGTTTCAGTCAGCAGACATCTGGTTGATGAGAAACGATTTCACCTTTGAGTTCCCTCGACCCACAATGCCAAATGTTGTCTACATGTCAGGATTTCAGTGCAAACCCTCCAAGCCCCTGCCTAAAGAGCTAGAGGACTTTGTGCAGAGTTCAGGTGAACATGGTGTCATTGTGATGACACTGGGATCTATAGTGGAAAAACTTCCAGAGGACATCGCTGAAGACATTGCTGCTGCTTTTGCAGAACTTCCTCATAAGGTGATTTGGAGGCACAAAGGCAAAAGACCATCCACCCTTGGTAATAACACGCGAATCTTGGACTGGTTGCCCCAAAATGACCTCCTGGGTCACCCCAAGACCAGAGTGTTTGTGGCCCATGGAGGCACCAATGGGATACAGGAGGCCGTTTACCACGGTGTGCCCCTGGTTGGCCTGCCACTTATGTTTGACCAGGCTGATAACTTCTTCAGGATGAAAGCAAGAGGTGTGGCCAAAGTCCTTGATATTGCAACAGTGAACAAAGAAAACTTCTTGGAGGCGCTAAAGGAGGTACTCTACCAACCATCCTACAGGGAGAAGATGAAGGAGCTGTCCAGCATCCAAAGAGATCAGCCTATGAAACCGCTGGACCGAGCCATGTTCTGGATCGAGTTTGTCATGCGGCACAAAGGAGCGGCGCACTTAAGGACGGAGTCTTACAAGATGTCCAGCATCCAGTACTACTCGATCGATGTGGCAGCCTTTCTGCTGACAGTTATTCTGCTAGTATTTACCATTTTTATTTCAGCAGTCAGGTTTCTATTGCGTAAGTTATTTTACAGAAACAAAGTCAAAAAGGAATGATGATTGTTTTGCAAAATTTGTATGCTTGTCGTCTGTTCTCTATTCAGAAGAAGGATGGAGATAAATTTGTACTGGTAGTGTAACAAACCTGAGTGTGTGTGCAGCTCAATTCAGCTATACAAATCTCACATTTTCTAATGACCTCAGTCTAGCCATATTTCAGATGTATTTTTGCTTATTTGTCAGTATCTTAAAAACTTAAAATAGAAATTATTTTCAGTGTTGTTCAGGGAAAAGTTAGTAAATGAAGCAAGCAAATCAATGAATCAGTTATGGGTTTATATTCATTTGATTTGGAATAGTCTGCTGTTTAAACACTTTAAGAATCACCACATTTCCTACAATTGTCTAACCGTTAAACAGGGACACAATTAAATGTTTCTGACTGTCGTATGGTGATGATGCCTAATCCTTTATTAAGAGCACATAAGAAGAGTTTGGCCTCATGCAGTGCTCAACAATAGAATATATATTTTTTATATGTATTTTTGTAGAAATTTCACAGAATTTTATGGTGATATTTTTTAAATTTATTACTAAAACTTATGTATCCTGACCAACTTATTCACAGTAATATAGAACCAGTGTGCAAGTAGCTGACGTTCACTATGTACTGTATATTTTCCCACTCTATTTTAAACGTTGTTGGAATACAAAATAAAGTAATTTGAAATCTGATACAACTTGATACACGCACTTTATTATATTTTAACTATGGATCACTATTCATCACTTTGCTGTTTTAACAAAAAATAAATACAGAAATGTCTTCATTGTTAAATTTAATAACATGACTACATTTAACTAGAGAGAGATACTCCCTACAGCTTATGACAAAATTTGATCCAATTTGATTGATGGCCCTAATCATGACCCTTTGACCTCCCCCCTCCCCCCCCCCCCCGGAAGTGTGTAATTTGATCCCCTAAGCGTGACGAATTGCATCCTGAGAAGGGAGGGGGAACCCCCGGAAGCGCGGCACCTGTTGTTGGGAAAAAAAAGAAAAAAGTTTTTAGAGGGAGGAGAATAAAAGCAGAGAGGAGGAGCACAATTTCTAAGGCACAGACGCAAGATGGATTTCCTTCTGCAGCCCAGCAGCGCTCCTGTGTACTTGGACGGCGAAGAGATCTGCTCTCCAAAAGAAGGCTTTGAATATGACATATTCAAATACAGCATATTTACTATGGAAGGCCTCGATCCGGACCTTATGACCCTACCGGAAATACTCCGGAAGTGTCTAGTCATTTTCAGACCTGATGCGTCATGTTCCCTAAGCATGAGGGGAGGGGTATGGTTGCTGGGGGGAGATCAGAGAGGGTTCCTGAAGCACAGCGGTGACGCAGCAGTTGACTCTGTGCTGTATAGAGAGACAGAGCGGCAGTTAGTTTTCCACAAACTCATAGTTTGAATTCTGTTTCGATATTATGACAATTTTCTCTGTATTTTTTATTTTTTTTTTTACAATAGCGGATGTAATTTTACTTTCTTAAGCTGCACCGGCGTTTGTAATGGGAATAAAGAGTGACTTCCTGTAGAGAACCGTTTCTTTCAATAGTATTTTATTTTCCTATAATACAGACGCAGTAAAAAAACCTTTAAGATACACCATAGCTTGTGATGAAAAGAAGAACTTTCTATCCGCTTGTAACCTACAGGCTGCCTATGTGTAAAAATGAATAAATATCCCTTAGTGAATACTACTTTTCCCTTTGAGAGTCCTTTTTACAAGAGACTGAAAAACAAACCATAATAGCCGTGACAGGAGCTCTTGTTTCACACACACACACACACACACACACACACACACACACACACACACACACACACACACACGCACACACACACACACACACCGTGGGTCAAGGAGGAATGAGACAGCAGATATCAGTTTTTTCTCAATGCTTATAACCTATAACGCGTCCTCCAAAAAATTATTATTATTATTAAAACATCTATATGAGGTAGCTTTTGCGCAGCCTGCTCCTTGGTAGAGTTTTTTTCTTCATTACTTTTACAATGGGTTTTCTCAATAGACAGAAAATGATGACGCTGAGGAGTCAACAGCCGATATTATCATTGCTTGTAACCCGGTAAATAATTTCGTACATCTCCCCATAAAATAAGCCTTAGTGGGAAAAAAAGCTCATATTCGAATAAGTTTATTCCCCTCTGTGAGAAAGAGTTTTTTTCTCAGAGTCAACCATGAGGCGAGTTTTGTCAACAGGAGGCGAGCAAGAACAACTGTTGCCCATAAAGTAAAACAAATATCCGCCTCTAAGTCGTATTTTACCGTTGCAGAATGTGGAAAACAGACAGCCCTCACAGGAGGCACCCAGGGGCCCACCTCACACACCATAGTTAAAATATTTAAATTTCAACTAAATTTGTAGTAATGATCGGATTTCCTCACTTATCTACACCACACTCCTTGTCCTTGATTTCTTATCGTTTCTTATCGTTCCTCTGTCCCTTAATAGAAACCACATATATAGAAACTATCCTCCCTTTCAGTTGTCTTTTGCACTTCCATATCGCAAAGCAGTTACTGTAGGTTATTTTCTGCTTATGCATTAATGTAATTAATTAACTTATTTATCCTTAAGTAAGGTAATGACTTGAGTTCTAATGCTTTTTGTCTCTTGAGTTAGCTGTCAATGTGGGATTTTTTTCCCCTTTTGTTCAGTTAAAGCTGCCTTTCATTCTTCAACACAGCTTAAACTCTAATAGGTAAGCTTTCTTGTAATTTCTTAGTTCTGCAGGCTTCTTGAAAGACATCCGAGACTCTTCTTTGGATGCTGGCTGCCTTTTGTTTTGTTTTCTGTCAAGATGATCCCACACCGCTTCGATTATCTTGAGGTTCGAACCCTGGAGAGATCAATCCATGACTGATGCGTTGTTTCATCCAGGCATACTTTGACTACATTGGCAGTATGTTTGCGATCATTGTCGTACTGAAAAATGAAGTTGAAGCCAATCAGACACTACGTGGTATTACATGGTCGATCAAAATCTGGTGGAACTTTTCTACATTCATAATTTGATTAATTTGGATAAGAGCTCCAACAACACTGGCTGAAATCCAGCCTCAAAGCACGGTAGAGTATCCACGCTGTGTTAAAGACGGCTATAGACATTCACTGTTGTATCTCTCTTCGGACCTCTTCCATGCATATTTCAAATTTGGATTCATTACTCCATAAGACATATTACAGCTGATTTCTTTTTCCAGTCAATTTCTTGTGTAATTTGGCACACCTCAGCCTTATTTTTCTCTGTTCTCCTTCCTTAAGAATGGCTTATTAACAGCCACCCTTCCAACTCAGATAACTTTTGATGAGGTTTCATGAAATGTTTACAGCACTTGAGTTACTCGCCACGGCCATCCTAAATGCTAAGAACACTAAACTTTAATTCTAAATTACGTAATTAACGTTAACCAGAAAAAACAAGCCAAAGTCGAAATGTTGCTGAGCTGACCTGTGGTATGCTATGTCTTCTAAAGCACGTATAATGTAAACAGAACTGGTCTTTGCACAGAAGCCTGTGGAGCTTCATAATTAACCTCAGTGTGTGAAGAGGACTCTCCATTTAATAATAGCTGTAATAAAATGTAAAGGGCAAGCTTTACTTACACAGCCTCACACACAGTAGATTTTTAAAGTTTTTTGGTACAGGGGTTTAGCCACAGATGCAACATCCACTTTTGATAAAGATCACGCCACCTGTTTATTTCTTAAGAAATTAAGCATCTTCATTAAGCTCTTATTTATAAATGTCTACACAATAATAGACACCGT